TTTGCTCAAAGATTACCAGCCGTGCAATCTACTACATAGCTACATACATTATATTCAGTGTTGTCAACACTACATGTCAAAAAGTCGTTAACGTACGCTTGAAAAGTCGCTAGAAGTCGCTAGCTATGGACAAAAATCAAAGGTCGCTAGAAGTCGCTAAATGATCCCAGTAGACGGAGCGCTATGTATAGAAACTGAGCGCAATTCTTTCACGTAACTCTAATTCTATATTGTTTTACGCACGGTAGTATGGGACACAGCTTTTTGGTCTGTTGGAATAAAAGAAATTAATTTGATTTACTTAAACAGAATAATATTTATAATCGGTATAAAAGAATTGAAAAATATATAAAACAATTATTTAACGAACGTAAAATCAAGAAAATAATACTAAAAATAAAATATAATACAAAATATTATTTATTGCCACCAATTTGGTGGCACCAAATGAAAAAATAATTATTAAACAAATACTTAAAAAGTCGAAAACATAATACTAAAAATGATGAAAAAGTTTCTTCATTCATCGTCAGAACTGAAATCTGAAACGGTTAATGTATCCGTTCTGGAACTGGAATTAAAGCCTGAAGTTGATGGCTGAGGCAGAGAGGTCCGTTTGGCAAATGAATATGATTTATTGGTCCCAATATTCTTTAGCACATTAATTGGTATTTCGTAATCATAGCAGCTTTTATAGGTTCTTCTTAAAGAGTATTTAATCATTAAAATAGAGTTTAATGCCTTCAGACTCATTCAATTGCGAAGCTTCGATTTTGTAATGTACATGGCACTAAATATCCTTTCAATTTCAGCATTCGAATGAGGTAGCGATATTACAGTTAATGCCAGATCACACAATTCTTGGAATGGGTTTTTGTCGGCAGCATCTTTATATTGATTGACTTCAGCCCAAAACTCTAGCGTGCTATTAATGTTTTGCCATTTAACATATATTGTTCCACTGTAAATCAATATTTTCCAATTTTTATACATCTTCAACTCCTAACTCTTTTGCCGAATCTATAATGTTATCGTTTTGATTTTTCGTTCGCAAACTTCGCTGACGGCTAATTTATTAGTTTTGATCAATATTTCAATATTTGGAGGAAGCCTACTTTGCAATTCCCTTATCAACTTGACTGTAAAGTCAATGCATCTTTGTTTGACTATATTTGAGACATCTTCATTCGAATTAAGTTTTCGAGCACTAGTTTCAAAAGCATATCCAAGCGTAGCGTAGGGGTTTAGGTGATCTTCTTGAACTGTCGTAGTTAGTACATTTATATTTGTGTGAGAGTAAATGACTCTGTTACAAGTTGATCGCAATAAAAATGTCAGGGTATCGAGCAATTTTGTGCGATCAGCATTTTCACTTTCAAATACTTTTAAAGCTGATTAAACTTCTTTTAATATGCTTTGGATATATGTCATATATAGCATATTACTGATATCTTCAAACATAGCATGCAGAAGTTCTGCTGTGTAACAATTTTCTTTGACCTTGTATAACGAAAATTGTAACTTCAAATCATCCCATTGTTGTAAAATGCGACTAACTGCTGGGAATATTGATAGCCATCGTGTAGTACACATTTTAAGAATTTTCAAAGGCTGCGATCAACAATTGATGGTCTCATATATTTGTCGGTATTCACCCTGTCGTTTGGGACCAGTTATAAGGGAGACCCTTATTATGTACTCAACATTACGTGGCAAGGTGTTTTCAGAAGCATGACTTACCGCTAGTTGCAACTAATGGCATACACATCGTTCAAGTACTAGGTTAGGCAATCCATGTTCTGTTTTCAAAATTTGATGCAAGCCATTATTCACACCAGTCATCACTGAAGCATTGTTAGTACCTATACTGACAATTTTTTTAATTTTAAATTATTATCGTTCAATGTGTTTATGATTACTTCAGCAAGCCCTTTTGCATCAGCTTTTGTAATAGGTGTTAATGCCAGAAATGTTGACAGAACTTTATTTTGTTAATTACTGAAATATCTTATTGCTATTCCTAAGTATTTCAGGACACTGATGTCAGTTGACTAATCTAGAATGAGGCTATATTTTTGGTCGCCGATATCCAACCTCAGCGATTCTTTGAAGTGTGGTCCAATATCTCATTAATTTTTTCCGAACATTTCGTTCTATTTATATGTATGTCGTGGCCGCATTTAGAATCGTAAAAGAGTTTTTTACACATCTCTCCCAAATGTTCTACTGTCACAACGGAACAGTGTTCGGCAATAAATCTCTATTTAGAGCCATGGCTGCTTCTGCTCTACTTGAGGGCTTTATTTTATCAACTGGCAGGAACGGTGGCAAGGGCTCTTGTTTCGTTATTATTTCCGCTTTTGATTAGAGTATTTTTAGACTCCGAGTGTTTTTTTATATCACTGATTTTTGCTAAAAATTCAGTGTGACAGCGAAACATACATTTTAAATCAGTTCCTTGAACCGGTGCTAACCATCCTTTGAAGTCTGGATTGTGTTTCTATTCTTTCTATATTTCTGTGAGTAACTTTTTTCTTTATAGGTATTTCCATTGTTCAACAAACGGAATCAATCACTGACTATCTATTCTAAGTAACTTTGGGTTTACGTAATTTACAGCAAATTTAATAAGCAACCGCTAATCTTGTACAATTAGAGAGCACAATACACTCCAACACTCTATCAACGCATGAATACTCAAATATACTATACAATACCTTAGAAAAATCACGCTGGGATTCCCCTGTACACAAGTACACCGTTGGGGGAATCCCCGCTTAAGCATAAGAATTTATGGCAGCGTTCCGAAATTGGATAAATATTACTCTCACAAGAGTCTGTCTCATTCAAAGGCTACAAGTAAAAAAAAGACAGACGTGTCAGAATGACATCCGATTTCTTAACGCAGTTCCGAATATAGAGAAGAAAGATCTCTGGGCTAAGACCTTGCCAAATTTTATGAAGATAGTTAAAAGTTAGTTTTTTTTATTTAAACGTCGTAAAAAAGAAGTCGTTAGAATAGTCGCTAGTTTTTTTTTGTCGCTGGACACATAATTTAAGCCGCTGTATAAAACGAAATGTCGCTAGATCTAGCGATAAAGTCGCTAAATTAGCAACACTGATTATATTCTCTATGCTACTACAAACCATAGATAAATAAATATGTAGCAAGCTACAAACTACAATACAAATTGGGATTGCTTGGACATAACAAAACAAAACAATTCTATGTTTTTACAATTCCAAGTTTTTAAGCGCACATGACAGTTGTTGTTGTTTTTATTATTCGCTCGAGAGAGCAGGCAAAGGAACTAAGCCATACAGCCTATTTTTTATTTTGAATATCTTCATAGTTCACTGCTTCACAATATGTTGATGCGTCACATTGGGCAGCCCTTGGGAGATTTTGACGGCAACTTGAGCCACCAGACAGCTGACAGTTGGTGATGGTATCTAAAGGTGCCTATGCAGACAAACAGCTTATCTTGAGAATCCATCACCACCAGAGCACTTGTTTCACCGTTTCCACTAATAGTTCACATGCGTAGGCAGTTAATACATAAAATCGCACCACTTTTACATCTCAAAATCCACTTCAAACTATTATTTAAACTATAATACAGGAGCAGCAAACCGCCGCCGGTCAAATTCCTGCCAAAACTCTCGCACATAACAGGATTGAGTTGACAGTTGACAGCTTTGAGCAAATATGGAGTGTAGAGTAGAAGGAGAACCATCTTATAAGGTGCGAAAGTTGAAAAAGTGTCCCAATATATACTGAAAATAGAGGTTCCAAAACCTACCACAATAGCGCTGTCGTCTGAAAAACTACGATATGAATATAGCTGTTGTAGACGGAGTGAAGTCAGCTGAATTCAAATATTTATAAAATTTCATAACTAGAGTAGTTAGTAAAATGCCAGTATACAAAACCTCGCCTGTTTACGTAGTACAAAACCAAGCGGATTAGTCGGTGCTTGTTTATTTCTCCATCTTATTTTAATAAATTTTGGCGCTTTTTTTTAAATTTATCCTATGCTACTGCAGCGCCACCCTTATTGGACGCGTTTTCAGGGACACTTTTCATATACAGACATGGTCCTCCTTCTACTCTACACTCCATATGAGAAAAAAAATAGTTTTTTTTTAAACTGGCTTTACGGCTCTGGGTTCTAGCCATTCTCAGCCTGAAAGAAGATAGGTTGACAGTATGGAGTGTAGAGTAGAAGAAGGACCATCTCTATATATGAAAAGTGTCCCTAAAAACGTGTTCAATAAGGTTGGCGCTGCAGTAGTATAGGGTAAATTAAAAAAAAGCGCCAAAAGTAATCAGAATAAGATGGAGAAATAAACAAGGACCAACCAATCCGCTTGATTCTGTACTACGTAAATAGTTGAGATTTTGTATACTGGCATTTTACTAACTACTCTAGTCATGAAATTTTTTAAATATTTGAATTCAGCTGACTTCACTCCGTTCACAACAGTTATCTTCATATCGTAATTCTTCAGACGCCAGCGCTATTGTGGTAGGTTTTGGAACCTCTATTTTCAGTAAATAGTAGGACACTTTTTCAACTTTCGCCCCTTATAAGATGGTTCTCCTTTTACTCTACACTCCATAGTTGACAGCACAGTCTAATATTATGATACTACGTATCAGACAGGGCACTCCCATAGAACAAAAGTGAACTTGTCTGAGCTCACATATCATGTATGAGAAGCTGTCATTGACAGCTTTTTTTATAATTTTCCATAGTGACGATAAAAGCGTGGTACGATACAGCCTATATTAAACGTAGTGGTTATATTCTCTTTGCATATATTATTATAGGTCCTAGATAAAAATACTACTTTCTATCTATTATTCTAATTAAATAATACGAATTCATAAATAATGAATTCGCATTATTTAATTCGAGCTTGTTAGAAAGGGAATGTAAGTATAAGAAAAGAACACTGTGTTATTTAAACATTTTTTTATTTTTTAATTTTGTTTTAAATTTATTAAAAGCTTTTAATTGCATTTGAGCACCTTTCAATATTTTATTTATGACATTGCACCAATTAAACACTGTCAATCTTAAAGTTAATGTTAAAAAGTGTTCAGAAACAGCATCCTTATGCAGAACGCAGTTTAGATTTGATGAGAGTTTTTATATCTTTTATGTTATTATCTCAAAAAATCTCACGGCATGTTCCGAAGGGTAGATCAATTTCTTTTCTTTTATACTTTTAAATTCTTTAAAGCAAATCCAATTATTGATAGAATTTTTATCATAACTGGATTCCCTATTTGTAAAATCAGCTTCACATTGTCGTCAATTTTTTTTTAGTATGTTTCTTATGACCCACCCAGCGGTATATGCATGAGTGAACATTAATGTTTTCATGCTTTGCTGAACTTTCACTTTCTACCCAACTCAATAGCTCAGAGGACTCGAATGAATGGATTTGCTTAGTATTATCACATTTTTCTTTTATACAAAATGATGATTTTAATTTTCCTCCTCATCGGGGTGTGCCGAGGTTGGTGCGTAAACCTGTATGACCTTCAGCGAATACCGTTTGGTGATCTGAGTATACGTTGTTAACGAGAGACTTGTGGACGATAAATTCAACACCTCCTTGGGACAGATTGTCACCCTCCCGGTGATAGAACAAATTGCCGGATTCGAGGATTACCGTGTCCTCCCCCTCTCTTCGGACTTCGGATAATCCTATGACATTCCAGCGCAACTTGTCTAAAGAAAACATGAAGGTCTAGTCTGTTTCCACTAACCTCCATTCACACATACGGTATTTATTTTAAGGTTCCATTTTTATGCTTTCTACCGACTTCAAAAAGGAGGAGGTACTCAATTCGACTGTATGTTCTTTTTTATATTTATTACCTCATAACTTGTTTCTGCATGAAGCAATTTCGATAAATCTTTTATAATTTGTAAAGCTGGTGCTTCACATGTGATCCCATATAAATTTGATCAAGGTCTGACCAATAGTTTTTGAATTATTCTTAATAATTTATATTGAATTCGGTTGTACAGAAACAGAAACAGAAACAGAAACTTTTTATTCAATATAGATTATAAATAATACTTATTGAAAGTCACTCTTTTGTTTGATTACCACTGGTTCGGAAAAAACCTCTGTCCTGGGAAGAACCAGCAAGAAACCCAGCGGGACTTTTTTTTTAAAATAACAGCTTACAATCATGATGTTACACAAATTAACAACACAACAAATTAGAAATTGCTTGGTAGCGATCACCTCATTTCCAGGGGTTATTATCATCCATAAATTCCTTAATATTATAATAACCCTTTTTATACAAACTTAGTTTAATAAAGTTTTTGAACTTTGAACAGGTCAAACTTTGTATATTTTCTGGAATTTTGTTGTAAAAGCGTATACATCGCCCCAAGAATGAATTACTGACTCGATGGAGTCGAGTAACTGGTACTACTAGCTTGTGTCTGTTCCTAGTATTTACAGAATGAATATCACTTATTTTTGTAAAACTACTTTTATTTTTGTGTACGTACATTACATTTTCATAAATGTATTGAGAGGCCAAAGTTAATATATTAATTTCCTTAAATTTTTGTCGCAGCGACTCTTTAGGCTTTAAATCATAAATTGCTCTTATGGCCCTCTTTTGCAAAACAAATATAATATCAGTGTCAGCTGCGTGTCCCCATAGCAAAATACCATACGACATTATGCTATGGAAGTAGCTGAAGTAAACTAGTCTAGCTGTTTCAACACTGGTTAGACTTCTAATCTTTTTTACAGCATATGCTGCAGAACTAAGTCTGCTTGCAAGTTTTGATATATGGGGGCTCCATTGAAGCTTCCCGTCTAGTGTGATTCCAAGAAAAATGGTGGTATCTACAAGACTCAGTTTCTCCCCATTTAAAATAACATTAGTATTTAATTGTTTGACACTTGGTACAAAATTTTAAATTAGGTATTGAATTAACTTCTTCAGAATAAATGCAGTTTCAATTTGCACATAAGGCACGGAAAGTTTTTGCTACTCGTTTTACAATTACATCACAAATGCACAAAAAAAAATAGATTTTTATCTGGTACACACATATTTATATAAAACACATTTGCATAATATTGTACATATTTCACCACATAGCTCACGAAAAAGGTTTTGCGCCAGTGTGTGTTTTTAAATGTCTTTGCAGATGCCTTTTTGTAATACATCTATATACACAGATATTACACGAAAAAGGTTTCTCTCCAGTATGTATTTTCATATGTTTTTGGAAACTACTTTTTGTAATACATCTATATTCACAGATATTACACGAAAAAGGTTTTTCACCGGTGTGTATTTCCATATGGGTTTGCAAATCAGTTTTTCTAATACATCTATATTCACAAATATTACACGAAAAAGGTTTTTCACCGGTGTGTATTTTCATATGTTTTTGGAAACTACTTTTAGTAATACATCTATATTCACAGATATTACACGAAAAAGGTTTTTCACCGGTGTGTATTTCCATATGTTCTTGCAAACTATTTTTTCTAATACAATATATATTCACAGATATTACACGAAAAAGTTTTTTCACCGGTATGTATTTTCATATGTGTTTGAAAACTGCTTTTAAAACTAAATTTAAAATCACAGATATTACACGAAAAAGGTTTTTCATTGGTGTGAATTTTCATATGTATTTGCAAAGCACTTTTTCTAATACAGCTATATTCACAGATTTTACACGATAAAGGTTTTTCACCGGTGTGTATTTTTATATGGGTTTGCAAATGACTTTTTGTAATACATCTATATTCACAGATATTACACGAAAAAGGTTTTTCTCCAGTATGTATTTTCATATGTTTTTGATAACTACTTTTTGTAATACATCTATATACACAGATATTACACGAAAAAGGTGTTTGACCGGTGTGTATTTTCATATGGGTTTGCAAACGACTTTTTTTAATACATCTATATTCACAGATATTACACGAAAAAGGTTTTTCACCGGTGTGTATTTTCATATGTTTTCGCAACTCACTTTTTCTAATACATTTATATTCACAATTATTACAACTGTACATTTGTTTAGCGACGTGCGCTTTAAGATGTGACAAAATGCAACGTTTTTGAGATGTTTTAAATTCGCAAATATCACAATTAAATATTTCTGTTTGTTGTGGTACTAGAGTTTGTTCTACTTGTGTCCGAACTGCAGTGGTGTCTGAGTTCTTTTGCGTCTTATGACTGTATGAAATGTGTTTGGCGAGAATGGCTTTTGTTGAAAATTTTTTACTACAACCATCACATTCAAAAATGTATTCAGTTGATGTCCCAGATGTCGTTTTCTTAAGTATATTTACACTCTTTTGTTTTAAAATTTTCTTCTTCATTATTTTTGCAGAATGCTTTTCTTTTTTATTAATTGGTTCATTATCTTTTTTCATTTTAGGGTTTGATTTAATAGTAGGGCCTTCAAAATCGGGGTTTTCTTCATGAACATCGTTTATGTTACAATCAGTAGAATTTGATTTAATCTTCTTTTCAGAAGTTTCTGAAAAATTATTTGTCGTAATTAAACTTTTTATTTATTGTAAATTATTGCATCTTTATTGCAAGAGACCTTAAACGGTTTACAATGGGCGGAGTTTAAGCCTTATGGCGTTCTCTATCGGTTAACCCATGCAAAAATAGATAAGTTATAATATTTTACATAATTATCTTACTAACTAATGTTGCTAGTTATAAAATATTTTAGCCAATTACTCCGAATAATGTATCTCATTTTCTTTTTTGGTGGGAAAGAATGGTTCTTCTGACCATGTTATAATTACATTAATCTAATAATTGCTGTTTCGAATTCAACACACAACTAGTGTTATACACACAGTACAGTCGAAGTTGGCGTGTAAGTGAGGGATAAGAGAATTCATCATTGCATGTTGTCTTGTGGGTTTCGTAAGAGGCGACTTTGGGTTTTCCAGAAAAATCTGATGGCTTCCGACAGATGGCGGTATAACCAGCTCGTTTATTTCAGATGTAAAATATCCAAACCGGCGCCAGGCGACATTGCCAGAGGTGCTCACGTCTGGTTCTGCGATCGTCAGTCCTATGCCAAGCGTGACGCTCAAGGAAAATTCTCCCTACATCGGGAGGGATTCTTCCCTGTTCAGCAGAGGAAGTTTACGGGAAGATTAAGGAATTATTTGCAGGCCATACAAAGATTCATAACATGCCCTGGTAATTCGGAGGCTATTTTATTTGCCGTAAAATTTCACAGTACGCTAGCAACCCAGGTCCGTCCTCCACTGGCACCAATAAAATAGTTAATTTTGTAAGTAGGTATGTATGTCTTTTGTATGTATGTATACATACATACATACATACATACACGCCGTTTCTGTTCTATCGATCCCAACAGCTTCGATGGAAACCGTATTGAAGGTCACTAATCAGCTTATGCTTTTCAAAGTACCGCGTGAGCTGGCAGGTAATAATGGATTCCATTATTTTGGAGAACAAGGAGGTGACGACGATAGGCCTGTATTTGGATAGGTCCCAGCCTTTTTTAGGAATCGAATGCACTAAAGCTGTCTTCCATAAGCTTTGAAAGACACTTAAGGAGTACGAGAACATGACATAAACATAAAAGTAACAAGAACATAACACAACAACTGCATTATAACTTTGTAATCTATACTAATATAATAAAGTGGAAGGGTTTTTTCACGAGGAATAGTATAGCATTAGGCTACACCTCTCAGTTAACCTTAAATATTGATTTTTGCTAACCCGTCACGTCAAGTGCTACGCCATTTTACTTTTTACGTGCCAAACGTCTAAATAAATAGGCTACGATTCTCGAGAGATACATTCATTTGAATACGAATCATCAAAGAGATAACATCAAAATGGAGATAAATTTAATGAGAGCTCTCTCTGTTTAAAAAATGTCTACCAAAGATATACACAGCGACTTGGTGAAACATTAGAGGGACTCTGCTCCTCCATATTCCACAGTTGCACGCTGGGCTAAGGAGTTTAAGCTGGGCAGAACATACACGGAAGATGAACGCCCATTCACATCCCTCACTGAAGATAAAGTGAAAAGAGTCGAAGACGTCGTATTGGTAGATCGAAGAGTGACCATCAGGCATATAGCTGACGTCACAGGGATCTCATGTGACAGTGGTCAAAGAAACGTTGCGAACTAATTGCGCGTTGGGTACCGAGAATGTTAACCGACGAGCAAAAGAAAAAATTTGTCGACATATCGAGGGTTAATCTCGAAAGGTTCAAAGTAGATCAGATTTTTTTATTACGTTTCGTGACCATGGGCGAGACCTGGATCTACCATTTCGATCTTGAAACCAAACAACAATCAATGGTTTGGAACCAAGCCTCCTACAGACGCCAAAGAAATTCAAATTGCCAAGTTCGGCGGGATAGGTTATGGCGTCCGTTTTTGAAGGAATAATTATGGTGGAATATTTGGAAAAGGGAGCCATTATTTCCGGCTTATAGTCTCGACTACGCAGGCCAAATAAGAAGATTGCAGGAAGCTATCAAAGAAAAAGACGATGAGACGAGTTGGAGTGCTGTTTCAACAAGACAACGTTCCGCCTCACAAAGCCGCAGTTGCGATGGCTGCCATTCAAGAAACGGGATTTGAACTGTTTGAACACCCAACCTATTCACCAGATCTAAGTTCCCAGTGACTTCTCTCTATTTCCTCCACTCAAGGAACACCTTCGAGGCAAGAAATTTGCAGACGATAGCGAAACTTAAGAAAGATTTTTTTCTAAGTGAATTCTGGGATTATTACAAAAATGGACTAAATGCGTTGACTTGTTAAGACTATGTGGAAAAATAAATTAAAAAATAACTAAAATCGCAAAGGATGTTAAAAAACGGCAGAGGTGGCTTCGCCCGCGTAAGACAAAACAAAAAGATTATCAATAGAATCAGACGTTACATTGCGAAAATCCATTATATTAAACACTAGCTGATAACCGCTCGCATCGCTGGGCGCACGATATTTTATTGCGGAACCTAGATGTGACTAAAGTAATTAAGTAATTAAAGAACAAAATTTTGTATGTATAGTACATCTCTACAGTACATGTAATACAACTACATGATGCAAGAGAAATTGGTGGTGATTTCTTTTTATTTTTTGATACATGTTTTTTAACATAAATTAATTTACCTTTGTCATCGTCTTCTTTTTTACTTTTTGAACCAAATGCAATTAGCGGCAAGTCGTACTCCGAATCCGTATGTCTATCTTCAATAGCATCAATCTCCAAATCTTCTTGTTTTTCAGCACTCTCTAGAATAAAACACATTCTGACTCAATAAATAAAATAATTACTGATATTTTTTTTCAAGCGACTAGATCATTACAGTCCATCACAAAGCTTATGGGCCTGAGCCACCCACTTTCATTACCGTACTGCATGTTTCATAAACTAAGTGTAATAAGGTGGCAATGGGCCGAAGAACTGAACACCGATGGGGAAGAGAGGTTCTCGAGTGGCAGCCTCGTACTGGTAGACGAAGTGTAAGGCAGCCACACACTAGATGGAGGGACGACCTGGTAAGACATGCAGGAAGTCGATGGATGCAGGTGGCTGAGGCCCGTGCTTTGTGGCATTCCTAAAGAAATTGGTAAAGACAGGTTGCTTACCAGTTGTAATTATATCATTAATTCCTATGAAATTAATCCATCTTAGTGACATACATACTGGCTGCATTTATACAGGGTCAAAATATTTTCAAAATATATTAATGCATGACATGATGACAGGAATAACCTAATGCGACAGTGTAGTTCTTCTCATGCATAATAAAAATGTGGTCATTAACTGTAAAAAATTGTAAACAATCAATCCTACCCTAGTGTATTTACTCAAGGTGCAACAGAATAGATCAATGTCTTCAGCCATTCTATTAAGAATGCGTAACGCAAAGATGTTTTATAGGTTCAGATACCGTGTACGCGCGCCTAAAACGCTTCCATTTCAAAGGCGCCAATATTGGCGTATTCGTTCGATCGTTCCGCCATTACACCAGCGACGTTCGCTGTGAACATACGTCACGCACCGGTGTTTTTAATTTCGCAAAATGACTGTTTGTGCTGTGAAATCATTTAAAAATTACTCTTGGAAAAAAGATAAGGATAAGAACATCACTTTTCATAAGTAACTATACAATTTTATGGTGTATTTCTTTGTAAAAGAATACGAAAGCTAAATGTCAATACAAGTAATAATACTGCGCAATAATATTCGAGTGTTGCCTAGTCTATGAAATGTTTTTACCATTTTTTAATGTCATGATCAACCACAAAGGTTATCTGTATAGGGGTTTTAAACAGTCTAATTTTACAGATTTTACCCAACCTATAGAGTTAAACCGTTTTAAGGGTTAGGGTTGAACTACATCTGGCAGCATGAAATTGCACTTTCCTGTGCTTCTATCCTTTTTGGTCACTCAGAAACGTTATAGTAGTAACCGGTATAGTTCCACCCTCAAAAAGCCGATTGTAAACCCGTTTTAAAAGTTTATCTATCATTCTTGACAATTCATACTAATATAATATTATAAATGTGAAAGTTTAATTTTTTTGTTTATTTGTTTTTGTCCTTCCTTCACGCAGCAACGGAACGGAGCAATTAAAAAAAATTAAACATTTTGCTATCTCTTGGCTGAAGTTCACGCTTAACCAAACTTACTTTTTTTCGTAATTTTACTTAGGACTAGCTGTGCCCGCGGCGTAGCTCGCGTATACAGGTTTTACATAAAGAATTTGTCGTTTAGGTAAGAGAATATTAAACGATTTATTTCATTACTGTATCAATAAGTGGTAACTAAATAAATCATTATCATCAAAGTTCTAAGTCGTTTATGATAGAGCTTCTGTGTAAACGACGTTAGAAGTAGGCTTAGCCGGGGTGTACACAAAAAGGTTTCGGGGGCTACTAACGCGGGAAAAAGCAACATAGAGTTGGCCATGTGCAAAACAGTCAGTACTGAGGTACACTCCTACAACGCGTAAAGTTTGACCTTGCGCTTTATTTACGGTCATCGCATAACACACGCTCACTGTAACTGGGAACTGAACGCGCTTAAAACTGAGAGTAAAGTTACTTCTTAATAGAGGGTTTTTGGGCAGTGCTGCCAGATAAAAAAAAAAACTCATTCAGCTCTAGGACAACACAAAAAGCGCTAGATTTCATGAAAACAGCGCTTTCAAAAAGCCCTAGATTTCGCGCTAAATTAACTACAAACAAAGTTTGTGTTTTTTTATATAGGTAATCATAATAAAGAAAACAACATTAAGTTTTTTTTCTGGCAATATTTTTTGATGTATCAATACTTCGCAGGACATCGACTTATAATTATGGCAATTGCTGTCAACAGTAGTTAGTACTGTACGAACAATAAAAATGTCATTAATTGTTTTAAAGTGCAATGTATTTCGCAACTTAGTTTCAGATGTCAGCATCTGATTGCGGTTGCTAACCAGTTTGCCAAAACCATGAACGAAAACTTTAATAAAGGGGATTTCCCCGCTTATAGTCGTCGGTAAAAAAATCAAGTTGATCATCCTAAAGGGGAAGCCAGGAGATCCATAGCACAGGGTATCCTAGTTTGGACTCGTCTCCCGTGCTCTTTGTTTTGTGGAAAAAATATGTTTGAAAAAGATAAACTGCAATGTACTATTTGTGGGAAAAATAATAAAGGTCATTATTATTATTATCGGTAATGTGGACTAACAGTGCTGCTATAAAAGAGTTAATAACCCGCTAGTCGCTAAAATATTGAAATGTGTGCTAAATACACCAAAAAGCGCTGGATTAAGCTAGGTGCTAAAATTTCGAAATGCGCGCTATACATTCCAAAAAAGCGCTAAATCTAGTTCCCAAAGCGCTAAAATGGCAGTACTGATTTTGCGTATATTATAAATACAATATCACGACATTTCGTTGCAAAATTTTTATTTTTGGTCGGGTTCCGTTGTATGGCTTCGATGGATACAAATTTCTTCAGTAAGTCTCAATACGATTCATCGGCGAAAAATCTCAACACAGCAATTCAGAAAAGTTTGTAATTTGTACAACTCCATCTATTACGTCCTTTGTGTGACAAAACATCCTTTTTAAATCTCTTTTTGTGTTTTAAGTATATTAATTATTATGGAACGTTTTTTTACACACCTAAATCTTTTTATTACTATTTCTGAGATTTTATGGCGCCATTGAACAAATTCGTACCTACATTTCAAAATAATAATCATTACTTTCGATAGAATTAACCAATTTTTATAAAACAAAGATTAAATGTAACTCGAAGATACGCTTTATGATTTTCTTAACGATTTCTTTGAAAATAAAAGATGTTTACTTTAGACGTGATGCGTTCATATAATAACAGACAAATAGACAGACAGACAATTCTAAAAATTATAAAATGTTCTTATTTAATTATTTTCAGTTCCCCATAATGATTTTAGCCACCAAAATATATATACAATGTACAGAAAGAGACACAACATGTTATCATCATTTTTATTATATGTATATATTTAAAGAGAGATGGCGCTGCTAACATCAATTCTAAAAATAAAAGAGATTAATTGACGCGATTGATACATTATATAAAACGCAAGAGAACTTATAAATCAGTGCCTGCACAGTAAGCAAAAAATAAAGTTTGACTCTCGCCAAAACCAACGCAATTGTTAATAGCTGTTTTAAAATTTGATTTACCACAAAGAGTACTCGGCGGTAAAGAATAAATTGAGTTTGTCAACACGCAGTAGGGCAGGGAGTAATATAATAAAGATTAGCAGTAAATATGAAAACTCATCTACCGGAAAAAACCACATTTGCAATTGCAATACATTTTCACAACACCACCATCTATCGAAGAAATGGGTTAACTATTGTGCTTCAGATTTAGTTAATAAGGTTAATATATTTTTGCTTATGTGTGTTTTATGTAGGTGCGATGTTCGTACCTACATAAAACACACATAAGCAACCATATCCCCATACACACACACAAATGCACACGCCACGCACACACATTTTATACTCTTAGAATCAATAGGTACGTCAATAGGAATGAAATATAAAATCTCCCACATTTTTTGGGTAATCGATTCGCACTGTTATTACCGAAGTCACGCACATTAATGCAGCCATGGTGCGTAAGATATGCGCGTCACGTGGTACTCAAGCACACATGAATCAAAGACTGTCTTCACTATGAACGTTGCGGTGTGTTAGCAACACGGTATCTGGACCTATAAAACATCTCTGGCGTAACGTTTGTGTTAAAAGCGCCTTGTCTTACTCGACATTGGTACGCGTCTGGAACACACTAATCCGCCCCAATATGTCACTATAATATAATTTTGTGTCCATGGGCTATAGTAACCACTTGCCATTAGGTAACTTGTAGCTTATTTCATTAATATTACAAAATGTGTATATCTTACCTATTTCATGATTCCCATTTTCTACAAATGTGGAATTCTCAATTTCGAAATTCTCTTGCTCAACTTTAACAGATTCAAGGCTAAACATATCGTCCTTACAATTATTTTCTACATCACACTCTACTGGCCTGATATCTATATGACTAATTGGTGTGAATTAAATCTTATCTCTAGCCTCATGATGATTTGGTATTGACTGAAACCAAATTCTTTTGTTAAATAAGAGAAAAAGCCAGCATAGTGGTACCGCAGGAGACTCCATACTACCATATCATCCCGCAGATGTCGTAAAAAGGGACAGAGGGAAACTGAAACAGGAGATGGACAACAGCATCTTCCTGACAACAACTACAAAAATAATTAAAACCGGACAAAGTGAGGGTTCCGAATAAAATTAAATAAGAATGTAGATAGTTCATCCATCCCGAGCATCGAGTCTCAACAATATTTCATACAGATTCACGAATGCTGTAAATTGACAAAGATATTTGTTGATCTTTGTTTACTGAGTAGTATTACATACCGGGTGTTCGTGAAACGCTCCCGAAAGCGAAGACAGATGATAGTAGGTACTACACTTTAGCACATGGGTCACAAATTAATTTGATCCCAAGGAAAAAAACATCATCTTTTGACAACATTTTATTAACTTTATTCACGCTAAATCATGTAAGTACAGCTAAATGAAACGATAATTTCATAAAAAAAATCATGAAAATAGTTAAACAAGAAACCAGCAGTGAAACTTTAAATAACATCAGCTGACAATAGGGTCAATATCCTCGCGGGCGCCGAACTCTCATAGGTCCCGTCACGTAAAAACGCTGGCCTTGAACCTGGGCACTGAGCGATTTATCGATCAAATTGGTGTTACGAAGTTTCATTTTTTAGTTTCATTTTTCATTTCTATTTTCTTATACAAAATCAAAGATAACGATGAAATAGTGTTTATAATTGTGTGAGTACTGAGTACCCAATTAGGTACGTTTATTGATTTCAATAATTTTTTGTAGGAAAGAACTGCTTGTTGCATCAGGGTACAATTGATTGTGTAATTGTATTAAAAATGACAACCGTAACTTTTAAATTCCATATGAAGACTAGTCGTAGGCATAAAACTTATAAATTAAATAAACGTTGGCGATGTCTTCACATACATAAGGCTTTAACGGTGTGTGGAAGGTTCCAGTGCTTCAAGGACTTTACCTTGTGCGCATTTGTTTTAGCGGAATTGATTAATAATTTTAGTTTTTGAGACAGTTCCGTGTTGACTATCACAAGAGACAGTTCAATTGCTTTGTTTATTAAATTATTGTCGTTATTACTTGTTATTTATTACTTAATGGTATTATTCTTGTTGTTACGTTTTAAGTTTCTTGTTTTGTTTTTATAATGCCTAACGTGTACGTTTAGTTCTCGTGAATACGACAACATGTTAATGTGCCTTGGAAAAGCTCGCGGGAATGCTTCGCATGCATTGCGAATTTACCGAGAGAAATTCCCAACCGCTCGACATCCAGCTGACACTCGTCTGATAACAACAGAATTTCAGCGAGTGTGGGAAAATCGGCCCATTGCTCTGGTGGCGGCAGGAGGTGGAAGTCAAGTGGCTGTTCACTCAGAGGAGTGCATTTTAGATGTCGTTCGCCGGAATCCGAATCTAGGTACACGAAGTATCACTAAATTGTTAAGGCTGTCGGGATGGAACAAGTGTGTCATACTGTACAGTTCATGAAGTGTTAAAGCGTAACCGAATGCGCCCATACAAAGTGTACAAAGTGCAAACTTTAGTTCCCGGCGATCACGACCGCCGGCAAGTTTTCTGCCGTTGGTTATTAGACCAGCAACAACGTGTGCCTGGTTTCATTGAGCACGTCACCACGGAGTATTTAGAGCGGTAAGCTGTTTCACACCTAATTTTTTTTAAGTAACTTGGTACTGAACTGATCTGAATAGGTACATAACTGAATACATCAAATAATAAACATACCTACACGATGAATAAAAACGCATGACTCTAACCTTGGTTACATTTCATTTAAGTATTTTTTTCATTAGCGGGGAATCGAACCAGTTATTTGGGTTATTTAACCTGTGAATTCGAATTAAAATGGCTACGTGGAGACAAGCACAGTGGCAAAGTAGTAGGTTAAGTATATAAGTTAGGTATTTAGACAAGTGTTATAAACTATTAGGTATTGTGGTATGGCCCGCTAGCTGCGGGCCACGCGTATTCGGCGTTGGCGCGTACATTGACCCCTAGTCAGCTGATTGTAATTCAGTAATTCCACTGCTGGCTTTATGTTTAAGTATTTTCATGATTATTTTAATGAAATTATCATTTCATTTAGCTGTACTAACATGATAGAGAATGAATAAAGCTAATAAAGCGTTGTGAAAAGATGATTTTTTTATCAGGATCGATTTTATATTTCACCCATCATCAAAGGTATAGTTGGTACTGTCGTCTGTCTTCGTTTTCGGGAGTGTTTCAATAATACCCTGTATAGATAATATTTCGTTTATATACAATAGAGTTAATAGTATAAACAGTTAGACAATTGTTTTTGAAAATATAAATACTTAACTTACTGCAATTAGTAACATAATAACATTGCTCTAACGAAAAAGTAAGTTGGATTGAATGATGAACTTAACTTTGCAGTGGAAAAAACACACTAACTAAAAGTGTAATACTGTGGACAGCGTATTGGCGATGTAAGAATATCCACTAACCTGTATACCTACCCACTGGACGAGAATCGTAAGATGCGACATAGGGAAACAGAAATAGGAGTTGGGCAACAGCATCTTCCTGATAACAACTCAGACCAATATAAACTGCAGTTGCCAACCTGCCGAGCGTGGCAAAGTGGGCAAAACCCCTCCTATATGAAGCAATTTATGAGGGGCTTTTATAGGTTTTAATGGATGGAACGGATAATACCATGGACCCTCCTGCAAGCAACTGCTCCAGAACTGCTTTTGACTCAATAGCCTGTTGTTGTAATGTTCTGCAACGAATGAGTCTTGCATGACAGGTGAAACAAACAATTATGGGCTCCTCATCCTCATCCATCTGAAAATATGAAAGTTTGTCATAAATATGGAAAACAACTTAAATATACAAGTTTGTAATAAAATCTGTTGGCTACCACAATTCTCTTCATCCTAATCTTACTAGTATAATACCACCTGATGGTAAGTGAATGCCCATACACATCTACAATTTATCCCCAATTAAGAATCAAAATGCAGATGTGCTATCACCTCTGAGGACCAAGACGGAACACCGAGCCGCAGAAAAAAGGATGTACGGTTCTCTACACTGGCTTAGCTTTCCATTGACGTCCGTCAAGTTGGATGTTGATATGTATTTTTATTAAGAAAAGTTACACTATTATAAGCACACACACAAAGTTTCAACATGCGGAAACGCGTAATTTTTGAGAAAAAAGTTATTGAAAATCAATTATTCTTGCAATGTTTATGTCTAATCCTTCCGTGAAACTGGCGCCATTTTGTAATGTCATTGTCGATGTCAATAGGGATGTCGATTCTTTCCGAAAAAGGTCGATTTTTAAATCGATTCAAATCGTAAGCTGATGTATCGGTTCACACAAAATCGATTTCTAAAATATCTATATTTTTTTTAATGTTTGCATTTATATTGTAAATATAAACACATTTTATGAAAAACAAGAAAGATACCATGATAAATGATCTCTTATTGAAATTTGTTTTATTTTAACAGTACCTATTAGGGCAGATAACAAATAAAATAGGTTAGGTTCAACTTATGTCAAAGAACCGAATTGATTGACCCCGACTTCACCTGGTACGAGTCTGTCCTACCCCTAGAGTGGTTTTATAGAGCCGGAGGCGCGTAGGGGGAGCGGCCTCCGCCTGCTGTAACAAATCCCTCCTCGCCTCCGCAGCTTCGGCTTGTTGGTCACCTTCGGCGACCAGCGTCAGCCGCTCCGGCTCGTCCGATGCCTGCGATTTGTTACGCTAAGGCGTTGAGGCTGCTCTTCCCGCAGCGCCGGAGACGTAGCAGTCTTAAATCAGATACAGAAATCCTTCTGAATCAGTCCCCTTATTCTTTTATGATGAAGGGATTTTTTTTTCTCATAAATTGGATTTATATTTTCATTATAAATGCAAACATGAAAAAATTATAGATATTCTAGAAATCGATTTTCTGGGAATTGATACATCAGCTTACAATTCGAATCTATTTAAAAAAATCGATCTTTTTCGGAAAGAATCAACATCCCTACTGACAATAATAATAAAAAATGGCGTCAGTTTCACGGTAGGAATTGACATAAATATTGCAAAAATATTTGATTTCGCTTAGCTTTCCATTGACGTCCGTCGAGTTGGGTGTTGATACGCATTTTCACAGAAAATTTACACTATTATAAGCACACACACAAAGTTTCAAGATGCGGAAACGCGGAATTTTTGAGAAAAGAATTATTGAAAATCAATTATTCTTGCAATGTTTATGTCTAATCCTACCGTAAAACTGGCGCCATTTTGTAATGTCATTGTCGACGTCAATAGGGATGTCAATTCTTTCCGTAAAAGGTCGATTTTTAAATCGATTCAAATCGTAAGCTGATGTATCGGTTCACACAAAATCGATTTCTAAAATATCAATATTTTTTTAATGTTTCTTTCTTGTTTATAATGTAAATATAAACCTATTTTATGAAAAACAAGAAAGATACCATGATAAATGATATCTTATTGAAATTTGTTTTATTTAACAGTACCTATTAGGGCAGATAACAAATAAAATAGGTTAGGTTCAACTTATGTCAAAGAACCGAATTGATTGACCCCGACTCCAACTGGTACGAGTCTGTCCTACCCCTAGAGTGGTTTTATAGAGCCGGAGGCGCGTAGGTGGAGCAGCCTCCGCCTGCTGTAACAAATCGTAGGCATCGGACGAGCTGGAGCGGCTGAGGCTGGTCGACGAAGGTGACCAACAAACCGAAGCTGTGGAGGGGAGGAGTTTTGTTACGCTAAGGCGTAGAGGCTGCTCTTCCCGCAGCGCCGGAGACGTAGCAGTCTCAAAATAGATACAGAAATCCTTCTGAATCAGTCCCCGTATTTTTTTATGACGAAGGGAATTTTTTCTCATGAAATGGATTTATATTTTCATTATGAATGCAAACGTGAAAAAATATAGATATTTTAGAAATCGATTTTTTAGGAATCGATACATCAGTTTACAATTCGAATCTATTTAAAACTCAATTTTTTTTTCGGAAATAATCGACATCCCTACTGACAATAATGTGCTGGACGAAGAGATAGACAAGTTGCGCTGGCATATTATAGGATTATCCGAAGTCCGAAGAGAGGGGGAGGACACGGTAATCCTCGAATCCGGCAACTTGCTCTATCACCGGGAGGGCGACCATCTGTCCCAAGGAGGTGTCGGATTTATCGTCCACAAGTCTCTCGTTAACAACGTTGTAAAGATCGGGAGTGTGTCGACGAGGGTTGCGTACCTTATACTCAGAATCACCAAACGGTATTCGCTGAAGGTCATACAGGTTTACGCACCAACCTCGGCACACCCCGATGAGGAGGTGGAGGAAATGTATGAGGATATCTCTAGAGCCATGCATTCCTCCAAAACCCAATATACGGTGTTAATGGGAGACTTCAATGCAAAACTAGGCACAAGAGAGAACGGTGAGCTGAAAGTAGGGAAATTTGGAATAGGGCAACGGAACCCAAGGGGCCAGCAGCTGGCCGACTTCATGGAGAAAGAGGGACTCTTTATGATGAACTCTTTCTTCCAGAAGCGGCCCCACAGGAAGTGGACCTGGTCGAGCCCTGACGGTTCGACAAAAAATGAGATTGACTTCATTATGACGACCAGACGAAAACTGTTCAGTGATGTCTCCGTGATCGCGAGGGTGAAAACTGGTAGCGATCACCGAATGGTTAGAGGCACACTGAACCTAAACGTTAAGTTGGAGAGGTCTCGTCTAATGAAGTCAACGCTCCGTCCCCCTCGTGCTCTGTTCCAAAGTCCCGAAACCTTTCAGCTCGAGTTACAAAACCATTTTCAGTGTCTAGAAGACTGCAATGAAGTGGACGATATGAATGACAAGCTCGTGGAAACTGTCCATGCGGTCGAAGCTAAGTTCTGCAAGACCCGCCACAGAAGAACACAAAAACTCTCCGATCACACTCTTAATCTCATGGCTGTTAGACGGGAGATGAAGCTACATTCTTCAACAGACTTGACAGCATACAGGCATCTGAACAGACAGATCTCCAAATGCATGCGGCGGGACTTACGCAACTTCAATACAGCTCGTATTGAAGAAGCGATCGAGCGGAACCAAGGCTCCAAAGTCTTTGCCAGAGATCTGTCTGCCAGAAAGAGCCAACTGTCAAAGCTGAAGACAGAATGTGGCAGCATCGTTTCCGGGACACCTGAGATTTTGAGTGAGATTGAGAGGTTCTATGGGCAGCTGTACACGTCATCGTTGGAGCCACACGCAAGTGTGAGTAACGATCCAAGAGCGAGTCTCATCCGACACTATTCCGAAGATATCCCGGACGTCAGTCTGAGCGAGATTAGAATGGCTCTCCAGCACCTTAAAAACGGTAAGGCCCCAGGCGAGGATGGAATTACAGCGGAGCTTCTGAAAGCGGGTGGAAGACCGGTACTTGAAGTCCTTCAGAAGCTCTTTAATTCCGTCCTCCATGGTGGCATTACACCGGAGGCGTGGAGCAGAAGTGCGGTGGTCTTGTTCTTCAAGAAAGGTGACAACGCTCTCTTGAAGAACTACAGACCGATTTCCCTTCTGAGCCGCGTCTACGTGCTGTTTTCGAGAGTCATTACGAATCGTCTCGCGCGCAGACTTGACGACTTCCAGCCTCCCGAACAAGCCGGTTTCCGAAAGGGCTTTAGCACAATAGACCACATACATACCCTTCGGCAAATTGTACAGAAGTCCGAAGAGTACAATTTGCCACTATGTCTGGCGTATGTGGACTATGAGAAAGCCTTTGATTCCGTCGAAATTTGGGCGGTGCTGCAGTCCCTTCAGCGGTGCCAAGTTTACTGTCGGTATATCGAAGTGTTGAAGTGCTTGTACAGTAGGGCAACGATGGCTATCCGAGTACAGAATCAGAGTACGAAACCTATCCAATTGCAGAGAGGTGTAAGACAGGGTGACGTCATATCCCCGAAACTCTTCACCGCTGCATTGGAAGACGTTTTCAAGCTTCTGGACTGGAAAGGACACGGTATCAACATCAATGGTGAGTACATCACTCACCTTCGATTTGCCGACGATATAGTCCTTATGGCAGAATCGCTGGAGGACCTAAGCACTATGCTCAATGACCTCGATAGTGTTTCCCAACGGATAGGTCTTAAGATGAACATGGACAAAACAAAGATCATGTTCAATGTCCATGTCACACCTATGGCGGTAGTTGTTGGGAGCACTAAGCTCGAAGTTGTTGACGAGTATGTTTACCTGGGACAAATAATCCGACTAGGTAAGTCCAACTTCGACCGAGAGGTCAATCGACGGATTCAACTCGGCTGGGCAGCGTTCGGGAAGCTACGACACATCTTCTCGTCAGACATACCTTAAAACCTGAAAACGAAATTGTACAACCAGTGCGAGTTGCCAGTGATGACTTACGGAACTGAGACGTGGTCCTTCACTGCTGGCCGTATGAGGAAGCTCAGGATCGCTCAGCGAGCTATGGAGAGGGCTATGCTCGGAGTTTCTCTGCGTGATAAACTTAGGAATGAGGATATCCGCAGTAGAACCAGAGTAACCGACATAGCCCAACGGATTAGTAAGCTGAAGTGGCAGTGGGCCGGCCATATAGCTCGAAGAACCGACAACCAATGGGGAAGAAAGGTTCTCGAGTGGCAGCCTCGTACCGGTAGGCGAAGTGTAGGGCGTCCCCACACGAGATGGAGTGACGACCTGGTAAGATATGCAGGAAGTCAATGGATGCAGGTGGCTCAGGACCGTGCTTTGTGGCATTCTTTGGGGGAGGCCTATGTGCAGCAGTGGACTTGTGAAGGGCTGTAATGATGATGAATGATGACTGACAATAATAATAAAAAAAAACGCGTCAGTTTCATTGTATGTAGGAATTGACATAAATATTGCAAAAATATTTGATTTTCAATACTTTTCTCTCAAAAAGTACATGTTTCCGCATATTGAAACTTTGTGTGTGTGCTTATAATAATGTAATTTTTCAGTAAAAATACGTATCAACACCAAACTCGACGGACGTCAATGGAAAGTCGTACCTTTGATTTTCAATATTTTTTTCTCAAAAAGTACGTGTTTCCGCATATTGAAACTTTGTGTGTGTGCTTATAAAAATAATCTTTATAAAAATAATCTTTATGTAAAAATACGTATCAACACCAAACTCGACGGACGTCAATGGAAAGTTCTACCCTCTACACTCACCATACAAATCAGAATTAAGCTGCTGTTTTACGCTGGTATTCTGTTTAGTCCATGGTACCACCCCAGTACAGCCGACCCACATAGATATATAGCTTATATGATCATCGTACCTATGAGGATGCAAACATAAACCCCAAAATAGGAAGACTATATGGTCCTTCAAAAAAGATATGCGTGTTAGTCTGTATAACCTCATATTAAATTTTTAAATAAACAAATCATTAAATTATGGAGTGTAGAGTACAAGGAGAACCATCTTATAAGGGGCGAAAGTTGAAAAAGTGTCCTACTATTTACTGAAAATAGAGGTTCCAAAACCTACCACAATAGCGCTGGCGTCTGATAAACTACGATATGAAGATAGCTGTTATGAACGGAGTGAAGTCAGCTGAATTCAAATATTTAAAAAATTTCATGACTAAAGTAGTTAGTAAAATGCCAGTATAAAAAATCTCAACTATTTACGTAGTACAAAACCAAGCGGATTGGTTGGTCCTTGTTTATTTCTCCATCTTACTCTAATTACTTTTGGCGCTTTTTTTTTAAATTATCCTATGCTACTGCAGCGCCAT